TTAGTAAAATCTGTTAACTTTATCGATATTTGATACATTAAATGCCAACGGTGATTATTCAAAAATGGGAATTTTGCCTGAAGTTTGCATGCCTGAACCTCAAGAAGTATTAAACATCTTTTAATATCCTTTTAGATTCTGGTTCTGAACTTTTCTTTTGGTATCTTTTGGGATTTCAATGTGGTTTCAGTGCTGAAAACCCAAATGTGGTTCACTTTGCATACTTATTTCTTTTAAAGAGGAATATCTGAAGAACAAATAATTGACACAGAATGACCCTGCCATCTGTGGCATATACAATTCTAGCCGTCTACTGCATACTGCACACTATACACTGAATACTGTAGGCTACTGTTATTTCAAAACAGTATTTGACCACAAGATGTAAGCATAATTCAATGCTAAGCATTTTAAAAGGGTCACCGTGACTTTGCCAAGACAGACATGTTCCTGGAGCAACATATTTTGTTATATCAACTCCAGGAACACGTCTTATATAAAGTCTATAGAACTGTTAAACTCATAGATCAAGTGTCAGGAATGGAAAGAAATGCATGCAAAGAGCAGAAGATTAAGAGAGGTCACTGTCGACACTAAAAGCTCAAGATTGATTGTTCATTTAAGACTCGGACTGAACAAAGTGTGCATTAACAAGAGATGTAATTTCAACTGGATTCTCAGATAATGAACGCAAATCACATTAGACACCCCTGCAGTCTTTCTTCTCTCATCCTCCACCAGATATCTGACTAATATAACAGTAAATAAGAACGTCCACTTCTGGCCATCTTAATTAGATTAGAATAAAATCCTCATACACACAGAAACGCACACACACACACACACACACACACACACACACTCACTCCATTAATCCAGTGGTAATTTGCTTTCACTTGCTATCAGCCTGAACAAATCGTTCTGTCTCAGGAAAACATTTGCAAGAAGTGCGAGAGAAACATGAGGCTAATTGGGGGAGAACAGCATTAGGACGCAGCGGGACGCCTGTTACCGGACGCTGTGGATAAATCTGTGGATTACACCCGCATGGCCCGTCAGAGGATCAGGGTTTGAGTGGATTACAACTGGACATCGCAGCCCTCAAATCCACTTCAGCACCACAATATCCCATCAAGATAAAGAGAAAAGAGGGTCTGTGATGGAGATTTAGGGGCAATCTGTGGCCTCATATATATATATATATATATATATATATATATATATATATATATATATATATATATATATATACACACATCATTTTAAAATGGTGTGTGTGTGTGTGCAAGACAAGTATACACTATTTTAAAAGGATGTATTTCTGGACAATGGCACCTCAAACATGTCATAAAACTGCTCTGGTCACGATTAAATGCTTGAACTTTATTAATTATAAGTTATAACTTGATTATTTACTTAAAGGCAAGAAAATGTACTGGAAAGCGCTAAAGTCATTGCTAAGGGATTGACCAATTCGTATGAATTTTACGAGGTGGCTAATTCGTAATTCAGACGACCTCACTCGTACAAATTCGTACGATTTTTGCTAATTCGTACATATTTTATGAGTTACCAAATTCGTATGAATTGTACGAATGACCTACCCCTGACCCCACCCCTAAACCTGCAACCTACCAATCCCGTGGGTTTAGACAAATCGTACGAATTCGTACGAGTGAGGTCGTATGAATTAGTACGAATTAGCCACCTTTTAATAACTCGTACGAATTGGTCGTGAGATTGACAGCTGTTTTACATGAGGTTGTCTTAAAATTTGAAATTAATTTATTTTTTGTTTTAATCATCTTGAAATGATGATCAAACTGACTTTTGTAATTTTATCCAACAGGATTTCAGACAAACCAACTTAACACCACAAAACACCACAGCGACGCCCCTCCAAAATGATGTCACTTCCTGGAGGATGATGTCATTAAGGAAGTGGCTATTGTTGGTCAGTTTTTTCTTTTAATGGCAAAAAAAAAAAAAAAAAACAGTATGGAAAGAAAATGTTTTGTTTTGAACATTTTGATTAAGGAAAGTAAAAATGACGAGACACCTGGAGTTTTACATTTTAAAAGTTAACAATCAGTATGAAGATTATGTATTAAACATTTTCATAAAAAAAAAAAAAAAAAAGGTTTTTAAATGTTAATAATCAGAACAAAAATGGCAATAACTGCTCACAGCAAAGAAGTGAAATTATATAAAATTCCCCCCATATAGTCCTACAATTTATTATGATAGAAAGAAAAACTACTAAGATTTCCATTTATACAAATTTTTATGTTCAATATTTTATTCAACATGCACATGTAAAATACTGTTTTGAAGAAAAAATCCTATTATACTGAGTACAACCCCTTTAATTATTTATTCTATGAATGCTTAGCTGCACAGTATGTATTGTCATTATTTTTTTAATGTTTCAGCACAATAAGCCACATATTTCTCAAAGATCTGTGTTTATGAGGAATAATTTGTCTCCATGTATTTGATGGATCTGCCCATCTGCCTTCAGAGCGGCTGCCAGTGTTGGATCAGTAACACACACACCGGCTGGCAGCACTGCATCTGAAGGTGTTATTTCATTAGAGATTCTCTCTTTGCTGACACAGATCTGCGAGACTGATGTCTGAGAACATTGAACACTCATCGTCCACTTACCTTACATTCATCAAAACACACAACTGACAACTGTTAGCTACTTTCCATGAATAGGGTACATACATACATATTTATATACACAAAGAAATGGCAACATATTGACTTGTTTTTTACAATGTGTGTGTATATACAGTGTGTATATATATATACACACACCCCACAATACACAATCTTGATGTTATTTTTATATAAAAATGAACATTTTGAATGAGAAAATGTATTTAAATAATGTTGCTTTTACCATCATATTATATCAACAGTGACATTGCATGTAATTATATTCAGAGCAAACAGACATTTAATGCATTTAAAAACAGATGCGTTTCATGCTATAGGTGTTTTATTTTCTTGTTAGATAACAGTTCTTTGAATATCTAATGTCTCACAATAAAAAACATCAGTGGACACTGAAATGTACCATATTCATGAAGAGTACACTTTTACATGCCATCATATTTAGCTAATGGCAATAAAATGTTGGCTTTGGTTTCAGACACGGCCATTATCAGTTGAGTTTACAGCTTGACATGAAGCGCCGAGACCACCGTCGGGATCCAGAAGCTTCTCAAGCCCAGGTTGACCTCAAGCACTGACCTCAAACACCAGCAGTTTATGAACGCCCGCCGTCAGACCCATATTCGTGGGGCTCGTGATGCAGGTTTTGTTGAAACTGGGTCACAGGTGTTCATTCCATCCAGGGGAATTCATGAAGCCATTCCTCTAGCCTGCTAATTTCTGTCAGTCCTGTGGTTGCGTTTCCAGCTAACCTATTTGTCTAAGGAATTTACATTTGGCTTATGCTGGTTGACAATTTTTCTTTTTAACCACATTAAAAATATGAGAATTAATGTCGGCTTTGCTCCAATTTAAGCTCTGTTTACTCTCTGGGCCTGCATGACCAAACTCTGTTATTTCATGTTTTAGTATCGCTTGCACATAAAATGTCTTCAGTACTGCACACATACAACTTAACTTATTTAATATGGCTAACATCTTTATTGAAGAAAGTTGGATTGCCCAGTGGCCATGTTCAAAAGTGTGGGGTCAGTATAAGATCTTAAAGAAATTAATACACATTAGATTGCTCAAAATGTACAATGTTACCACTAAAATATGAAGCAGCACTAAGAAATGTTTCTTAATCAGCATATTAGAATGATTTCTGAAGAACTATGTGACACTTGATGCTGAAAATTCAGTTTGATCAAAGGAAAAAATTACATTTTAAAATATATTACAATAGAAAACGATTATTTTACACGAATATTTCACATTACCGTTTTTACTGTATCAGATAAATTCAAACTTGACGAGAATAAAACACTTAATCTTTATAAAATCATACAAATCTTATTGATCCCAAACTTTTGAATGGTAGTATATTACTTTTTCTTATTCAATATATTCTATTTTTTTTACTTAGTAAATATATTACTTCTTTCACTGTTCAGCTGTTTGTAAACGTGTTTTTGCACAAACTCTGTATTTAAATGAGAATCACTCTTGATATAGTAAAAAAGAAAAGCATGCCACACATCCTCTAATCCAGTTTTATTCTTTTTCAGCAAAAGAGGAAAGGGAAAAAAAGGAAAACAAGAAAACAAAAGAAAGGCTACAGAATTTTATCTTATCCATATCTTCGCTTTTTGTATGCTTTTTTAAATGTTAACCTAAAAAGGGCAAAGTAATGCAGCTCTATGCTTAGAGTGAGAGTTAACCAGAAACACAAAGGAGGTTAAATAAGGATTTTTCTTAAGATACACAATATTCATCTCTTATCTTCAGTTGTCCATGTCGACATCAACAGAAAACCAGTCAAAGTAATAATACAAAAAAAAAATCAAATAAAACAAAAGCGCCAGTAAATTGAGACTCCGCCTTCCTCGTTCCCACCAGAGTTGAACACATCCCTCCATAATGCCATGTATGGGAGGGAAAGAAAGAAAGCAAAAAGAGAGAGAAAGTATCAAGAGAATACAGAAAGAAAGGTTAGCTTGAGCAGGCAGGAGAAAGAACAGGAAACTAGTGAGAATGATGGAGGAAAGAGAGAGAAAGCGAGAAACAAGGGCACAAAAAAAAAAAAAAAAAAGCCACCGAGATCTTCAGCTGCTTTTAAAGAGGCAGAGTGTATGATGCAAGGGCTGATGGGAGTTGTACGAGGTTACAGAGTGTGTTTATTCAGACCTGAACGAACTACAGTTCTCAGATGAGCTGTGGGCGGCCCTTTCCCAACTGAACCCAAACCGAAGGGTACCGTTTTGATTGCACCGAACGGTGTAAGTGCATATGTGAGTGTGAGTGTACGCGAGTAAAACAGGCACGGCTCTGACGCGGATCGGACGAGAGAATCGAGTCGAGTCGCGGCAGAGCCGGGCTTTTTTCCCGGGACGGAGTGACTCGTGTGATCCAGGTCACCCCCTGTTCCCTCGGTCAGCGTCTGTCCGTGTGATGGAGAAGAAGTTCCCAGAGGTCTCGATCGATCGATGCGTTTCCCCTGGAGTCGATCGCAGCCTCTGAGACAAGAGCAGTTCTCCAAAGTACAGGCCGCTTGGGAGCCCAAATTGGTCTGACCTACTGACCTGCATATGCACTGGGTGTGGAAGGGGACTGAAAACAGAACGTTAAGGCTGTGCGGGTCGCCTGTGTGTGATGAGCACAAGGCTACTGAGGGGTCAGAGGTCAAGCAGGGGTGAGGGGTCCTCTGAGATGTGTTGGAGGAAAAAAGATGCCACTAACAGGTGAGTGATCGTTGGATGCGTGTATGTGTGTGTGTGTGTGTGTGCGTGCGTGCGTGTGCGTTCAAGAGCACTCCTCTCCGATGCGCTGGCAGGTTCGGCCCACCTTGCGGTCCAGTTTAACCATCTTCAGCACAGCTTCCTCTCGGCCGCGGCCCAGATGGTCAAACATACAGTCGTGTTGCTCCGGCAACCGGTGCAACATGCAGAACACATAACCTGAGAACGAGAGAGAGAGAGAGAGAGAGAGAGAGAGAGAGAGAGAGAGAGAGAGAGAGAGAGAGAGAGAGAGAGAGAGAGAGAGCTCACAATGAGATGAATGTGTTGTATAACCTGCTCAAGGTCGGTTTTAAAAAGCGTTCTAACAGCACGTAACACTAATTTGACGGAGTTTAACAGCATGCTTGAGAGTGTATCTTGCCACACACACACACACACACACACACACATCACAAATGCGTAAGTTTCTGCTTTTTAAAATGAAAGCCCAAAGAGATTAAATTGATCTCAGATCATTTCTAAGTAAAAGGTTTTAGTGGTGCTTGCCCATGCAATACATCACTGGCATGAGGAGTATCGCTGGGGGTTGTTACTAACTAAAAAACAAGAATTTTTTTTTTTTTTTTAAGCCTACGAACAAGTCTCTACGAGGATCCTAAAGCTTGATATTGATTATTTCAATTTACCGTTTAATTGGCATGACAAAAATTGTGCATTGAGATTTGATTGAAGCTCAGCTGTGCTAAAAGGTAAATAATATGAAATAAAATAATAAAAAAAATGTAATAAACAGGGCAGACAAACAAATAAAAAATAAAGTAAAATAAAGCCAAAGATTACGCTCAATTCAGATTTATTGCTCAGAACTGATTTCTTTTTTAGGCTGTTCACATTAAGTTAAATGTGGCCAATATTAGATTTGAGTGTGAACTGGTTGCGGGCCTGAACTGACGATAAAAAGACGGCGCGCAGCACACTGTCATACGGAAGTAAGTTACTGAAGTCAACATTTAAGTGTTCTTTTATAAGGGGATGTGCCACGGCGGGAAGACAGCGAATTTGTGCACAGGCAATAAGGAGGATGCAGATGAGGATAAGAAAGTTTTCCTCGTAACAATGGAAACCGTAACCGCATAACAAATGGGGTGCATTCATATTTGTTTGCAGCTTAGCCAAAGACTTCAGATATAGAAAGACAGTGCACTCATATTACTAAGAATGGGAGAAAGTGCAACGTGCAATATGGCCTTCTAAATAAAAGAGCCAATGGTCGATTGGTAAAGTCATTGCGTCACTGCAGTCAGTGTTCTGAGATTTCACGTTTCACAATATGCGCATTGGTCCAGCCTAAAAATGCAGTTTTATGTCATGATTTAAGCATTTAAAAACAAAATTTTTGAGATAGTTGTCAGATTTCAGTGGTGATTTCAAATATGAAATGTAAGCTTGGTGAACAGCTTTGGAGAATTTGATGTTTCCCCATTCAAAGAGATAGGAGCAGCACTTGCATGACTGAAATACTGAAGCTGCCTGAAGATGGCCGCAGAGTGAAATGACTTAGCAGGGTTCTACGCTAAGGTTTTTCCCAAGGAGCACATGTGCTCCTAAATGAAAAAATGTAGGAGCACACAAAGAAATTTTGGAGCGCAGTGAAAAACAGTAACAAGTAATAAACTATTTATTATATATACACTACGTGTGTGCTCCTTCTCTTTTTGTTCAACTATAGTGTGAAACCGTCGATTTGATGCAGAAGTATAAATCACACTTTACAATCACTTTAGTAAAACAGAACAAGGGAAACGTGTTGCTCTCAGGAGGAGGCTAGGAGCACATTGGCACACCTGTGCAGTGGACATCTGCATCTTTCCACTGCAGAGGCTCTTTCCACAACATGGAGGAGAAACTAGTTTAGAGTGTATTAGTATTTACTAGTATTAGTATCTACTGTAGATTTAGTCGACTAAAATCTTATTGTATTTCGTCGACTAAAACTAACACAATTCAGATGACTAAAATATAATGGGTTTAGTTCAATTGTAATGCATTAATTTAGAATTTCTCTAAAATGTCCAAACCCATATACTCCCAGAGAAAACATCTATTAACCTGTTAATATGAATGATTGTAAAGTTTGAACATGCAATACAGATACAGATTTAACTACTGTGACTTAAAAAAATATCTTAAAATTAAATAAAACCACTTTTCCTAAAGTAGAATAGTCTTCTTTTCAATGAATGTTCAAGTAACGAGCAGTGAATGCTATTATTTTTTTCTTTTGTTGCTTGATGACACAGACCGCATTAGGTTTATTACCCACTGTCACTAAAAGACATCGGATCATGTCCAATGACTTGCGGATCCAATTGCACTGATGCACATCCGACACACTCAAAACTGTTTAAGACATAACCAACATAGTTTACGTGAATACTCTCCAAAATGGACATTACGACATAATGTTGTGTGTATTAGTCCATTCAGACACGAAAGAGAGCTCAGTTCAGTCCTCGCGCGCTGTGTGTGTGCATGGCTGCGCGCTTCGGGTCGGGTGTGTGCGCAGAAAACCGAACCAAATAGAACTTTTTTTTTGCGTCGTCACTCTTATTCAGATCTATGTGTCTGCTCTACTAATTCTCCCAGACATTTACATTTTTTAACGTTTGATGAGATGCAGCGCATGTCAACCCGTGTGCCGCTGTGTAGATCAGCACGTTACAGTACAAATATGCGCATCTACCACAAATGCAGGACATCAGTTCTTACTGGATCGTCACTATCTAACATTTTTGTCTAGTTTTTATTTGTTGATAAAAAATGTCAATAGATTTTCGTCATAGTTTTTGTCATTCAAAACTAGTTTTTATTTAGTTATCGTCTCGATTTCGATTATGGTTGGTAGTTACTCGCACATTGTGCTCGTAAATCTTTTTTCCGGTTCGCACGTATCGATTTTTAGGGGCATATGCGAGCAAAATGGTCGCACTGTAGAGCCCTGCTTAGTAGCTAAAGCAGAGAAAATAACAAAAAAAAAAATTATAATCATATAAAATAATACATATAATAATAATAAAAATAATAATATGAAATCTAAAATTAATAGTGCAAAACAATAAGGTCAAATAAAATACTTTGGTTAGTGGACGGCCGCCAAGGTGTTCTGCCGCATAATTTGAGGTATCATTCATAGCACACATGCAGAGTTCAAATCCATAATCCCAAGCCGAGCGATATCTACGCTAGCAAACAACACTAACTATGCATAGACCAAACGTAGTTTGACTTCTTAGAGAGTGTGATCTGAGATCATTTCCAAGTAAATAAAAACCAGCTCTGCACACAGAGGATCCATTCCGTCTTCAGAGCCTCATTAAGAAGAGTCTCGTTAAGGAGTTTAATATATTCATTAATACACATGGTGTTTTTAATGAGTCAGAGATGATTAAAAGCTTACAATGTTTCAATTACGACAGCCACAGAAGAGCTGCACGGCACTACACACACCAGTGCATCATGTAGCGCTATTCAGGGGCGACGCCGCTGAATATATATTCTAGATGAGTTGTCAGCTTCTGAATTGTTTGACGAAAAAGAAAAACAGGGTTGTTCTCACTGACTGCATGCAACCATAAACCCACAGCATAATGTGCTGCCCGATTCATGAAAGATTCGCTCAAATGAAGCGGTTCATTTTAATGAATCATTCGAGTAGATTAGCAAATCAGTCTGAATCGAACACAGGACTTGAACACTTAGATCGACTGGGATTACTCGCTTGTGCGTTACTGTACATTTTAAAACGCGTCCAAGCAGGTTTCCTAACCCTAGGAAGAAAATGCAGCAGAGTTTTTCAACTGCAGGAGTCCTGCCTGAGAAAAACATTATCCCGGCGGGATAAGGACTCAGATGCGAGCTGTCACAGGAACAGTCAGATCCATAAGTGTATTAGCAGAGCAGTGGGAATTGTCATTAGACTGATGACTTACAATACCATCTTCAGTTTAACAAAAACAAGACAAAAAAATAAGTAGCACAGCCAGGAGGACTGATGTTAGCTGCGCAATTATGTTTAAACGCTCACTTTATTTCCTTACCTACAGTTAGCATCTGAAATTTAAATGACCGAGGGGGGTTAAAGATACTTTAGTTCTGTAGGGATCTAAAAGTTCTCGCTGAAATTGCAAACAGTCAGGTGAGGAATGAACAGGCCCACACAGAATTGGAAAACCCATCATATACGTCGTCAGAACAAGTGACGTGATGTGACAAAACTAGAAAACTCTCGTTATCATAAACAAAGCTGTCGAGACTTGACGCATGCGAATCAGGAAGCGTTATAGTTTTGTCACATCGCCTCGCAGATGACACGGCGGCCATACTAACCACAGCGACAGGACCCCAGCTCCTGTTGTACGAGCTCCAGTTTGGTTTGGCAGCGATGGCACCGCCGACGGTTCTTCTGCTTGGGAACTCGTGGAGAATCTTCAGAACATGAGGCCTCTCCCACACGAACACGCTTCTCCGGGGACGACTCGCTCTCTGAACCTGAGGCTGAACACACAAACAAGAACTTTTAAATTGCAACTGCATCCCCACTGCAGAACTAGCTGGTGCGAGTTAAACAGTGCTATATAACACACTGGAGAGCACAAAGAGCTTCAGTTGGGAAGCAAGTGTTCGACTTACCATGCATCTCATTACTAAACGGGGGGAAAAGGTAGTTGGCATGCTTAATGATGGATTGAAGGTTAAACCATTCAAAACACCATAGTAACAACCTAGCAAGGGCGACATCCTTTAAACCTCAAATCTCTCTTCAGTGTGCATGTAGTTTGAGTGTTTGGGCAGTCTGAAGAAAGATTGGAGGTTTAAGGAATGTAGGCCTTGCTAGGTTAGTGAGTGATTTTCTCTTTCTTTTGTTGTTTGATTAGCATTAATGACAGACTTTAAGAACTAACGCATGGATCTAATATACTGACACGTCCGATTTCCAACTGTTTACATTCACTTAAGACATAACCAACTGTTTATATGAAGGCTGGCATTTTGACAATTTTATTTTGTGATCGCATGCTGTTCAAAGAGGCGGATTTCTCTGTGTCAGTCTGCGTGAGTACAGAGTTCTTTGTTTAGGCTTATTCCACTTAATAAATATTTTAATATCATACACTGTCTCATTCATGTATGTTTCTTTATTGCTCTAACGTGCCACAATAACTTTAGGCAGTCTGCATATATTTACATACTGCAATATAAACTATATACCAAAATCTCTATCAACAGGCACTTTAAATGGTCGCAACGGTTATATCATGGAGCCCCTAAGGAGGGACTTCAGAGTCGGCAGAAAGTTAGCAAGTACTCTAGACAGAACTATGGCTTGACCAAAGCTTGAACTCCATTGATTTAGCTCTCTCTGACCTTGGTTAGTCAGTCTAAACCAGAGCTTCCTGTGCTTTCAGAGCTTTGAAACTCTTCTTTTTTGTGGATAGAGAGGTGGAAATGAATGTGCAAGGTAGGTAACGACGGGTGGGAGAAAATACACATCGATTCAGAAAAAAATTATATTAATAATTGGATATTTAAATTAAGTTTACTAAAAAGATAAACGGAGATAAAGATAAGTTTTGTGCAATATGTAACAACTGATTACCTTCGAGCAGCTGCTTTGAGACTTTCAAACCACATTTGTACGCTGCTGTACATTTACAGCTCAGTTCCAAAGTGGTGTGATGTGCTAGACTATTAAAAGCTGCCAGACACACACAAGCACAAGAGCAGTGGTGAGGTGTACCTGAGTCGCAGGGTCGTTTTGTAGGAGTGGATAGCGTGCCGCGAGCTGTGTCTGTACTGGAGACTTCTGGGAGAGAGAGAGAGAATGATATAAGATTTAGATTTATGCATTTATCCGAAGTGACTTGCATTGCATTTATCGGTTCATGCATTCCCTAGAGATCAAACACATGACCTTGGCGTTGCTATTTAGGAGTGTTCTTCGCTGCAAACCCACCATTTGAGAACCACTAGTATAGATCTCTAAGGATTCAGACTTTCTGGTTGTCTTCAACTCAGATTTCACATTCCCAAAACAAACATTATAAATGTGTCCGTTAATCTTTTTCATCCACAATATTCAGCGGCCTATCATTCTCCATGACTGTGCTGTGGAATATTACAATGATTAAGGCCCACCCGAGACTAAATGCGATGAAATATCATCTAAGTTATTACAGGTAAGGCCGAAATCATTAGTGTGTCCTCACCGTCCTGTGCAGGAAGAGGCGTGGCTTCTGTCGAGGGCTCCTCAGAGCTGGCTGGCTTGGCGGACAGGGTTTGGCTACTGCTGCTGCTCGTCTCATTGCAGAAGACTGCTGATTGGCTATTGCTGGAGCTGGGGGCGGGCTCTGGAGTGCAGTCCTCGTCTGGCTGTTTCTTCTGTATGTCTGATGGAGAGAACAGAGAGAATGAGAGTCTCAAACACAGATTAGACATAATGATTATATAGACCCCGTACTTTAAGTAACTTACCAGCAAAACATTTGGAGCAAAGGTTCATGGTTTTGCTGGACCTGGAGAGAGAAAAGGACAAAGGAGATATTCTCTTAAATATCTGTATAGAGGAAGAGCACATCTCTGTGAAATGACCATCACAACACCAAAATTTCAGTAGTTGAAACCAAAACTAGCGAAATTTCACGATTCTTGATACAGATTTCAATACCACAGCAAAAACAAACATTCTTTATTGAAAACCTAAAAATATCCATTAATAAATTCAATTAAAAAAATGACGGGTTTTTTTGCTAAATTATTCAAGTAAATAAATGGATAAACAAATATAAATTAAAAAGGTTACCACACTTTTATTCAATGCATCTCCTGCGTGACCTTTCCAGGTGTTTATGATTACTGGGTAAAAATGTTTAGGAATTAATTTAATTCAGAAATATTCGCTAATGAATCACTGAGACTTTGTGAACAAGTTCATTTGACTCACTGAAAAGAACTCAAAAAGTATTAGAGCAATCGGCAACGGTTTACACTTGTGTGCGCATGCCCAGTGTGCATGAATGGTCACGTGACGTGTTTTCAGTTGTGTAGTGTGGACAGAGATCTTTTCTAATATGCAGTGGGCACGCCAGTATGGACGAAGACTGTTTTCATTTTAAAACACTGTGTTAAAACAAAAACGCACTAGTGTGGACATAGCCTCAGACACCTCTTCAGTGGAGAGCTCCTCGATGTTCTTTACCTGCAGGCTGAGGGCGGTGACATATCAAACACTTTATTTACACAAACACAACAAACATCCATCGCACTCCCTGCGTGCGACTCAAAACTCCCTCTTAGGATGGCAGAGGTTAGCAATGAAAACAACATCAACAGACCTTCGTCGGCACAATCAAGCGCAATCATAATCAGCAGCCAATCAAGGAGGCGGAAGGAAGCATGCGGAGAGAGCAGGGTATTGTGGGTAGGAATAATGCATATTAAGAAGATGAGCACATTTGAGTGTAGAAGAGCACATCACCACATGAACACCCAGATGGGGTAGCTGGCTGCGTGTGCGAGCAATAAAAAGGTCGGAAAGGTGTTACTGACAGTGCTGACTGAATAACGGATGACGGTTGTCATTGAGATAAGCTGAAACAGTTAAACCTGTTGATCCACAGGACAATGATAGGCCTCCTGAGCACTATGATAGGCTGCTCAACGCTATAGTGCCTGCCTATTATAATTGATCCGCAAATCGGCCTGAAGGGATCACACTGGTGGAAAAGAATCATCTACCGTAGTTGCAGACTAAAAAAAAAATGTACAGCACTAGGGATGAAACGGTTACCTACCAGTTTGATAAACCACGATAAAAATTCCAAACAGTTAGTAGCAGCTGCAGAATAGCAGATATATTACGCTAAGAACAAATACAATAACAGTCATATCCACCACCATTGCCAAACCTTCTGAGATTTGTCATGACTGAAATGCAATTGTATACTAATCAGTTGTTTTATTTTAACCTTTAATATTATAGTAATGTACCAGCGGACTGGATTCCCTGTTGAGTTCAGCAGTTGAGAGATTTTTTTCCCTGAGAAAAATTAACATGTACTCAACTAGAGTTGTTCCGATTCCGATACTAGTATCGGAAATGCCGCCGATACCAATAAAAATGCTGGCATCGGTATCGGCGAGTACTTCTATCCGCGTACCGATCCGATACCATTTTCTCAAACAATAACTAGTTATGCACGCTAGCTTTGCGTAACGCTGCAAATCGGAGCTCAATTCTTCTTCGCTGTTCTAAACAGTGGTTGCTTGTGGCAACACAGGAAGTCGTGCTGTTGCCACACAAGCAACCACTGTTTTGAGCAGCGAAGAAGAAAACGCGCGCGCGCCCTGCAGTATGTCAATATAAATAGTCTCTGAGTATGTCCGCAGTTTTTCAGACTGGACAACCAGCTAGTAAAACGGCGACTTGTCTCATATGCCATACTGCAATTTCGAGGGGTGGAACAAGTAACACAGAGTAACCCCGCAGAACACGATTACACAAAGGCAAGGCCAGAGAAGGATGAGCCGCGCCAGAATCAACAATCTCTGAAAGCTTCATTCAAACGAAGAGAAATGTTTTCAAAAAGACAGCCAACGAGCGATAAATATAACCGACAACATGTAAGTTAAGTTTATTATTCTGGATGACCAGCCGATGTCAAAACTGAAATGCCGTTTATTTAACAAATCTGTTTATGGACCTTAAATTATAAAGAGATAATTTTCTTATAGTATTCATATATCATTTTTTTAGATTCCTAGATTTATTTGTTGCACTTTTTTATACAGCTATATATTGTAAATCTAAAATACCTTTTTTCAGTTTACAGTATTAGATTTGTGGCTGCATTTTAAGTTATTTTTCACTTAAGAAAGATAAATAATATATTGCTGTGAAATGTATGTCAGATAATAAAAATAATCTAGTTCACTCTATGTATTTGTTCATGTTTAATTAAGGGATAAGTCTGAAGCACACCATAAAATAATTCTATCAATTCATACAGTGCTAGTATGAATTGCAGCTGTATAGATACTGTACAGACCCAGGTATCGGATCGGTACTCGGTATCGGCCGATACCCTGAGTCCAGGTATCGGAATGGGTATCGGGAAGGGAAAAAGGGTATCGGAACATCTCTATACTCAACCTGATATATATCCACAGGAATCGATATTGAATTGATATCGGAATCGAATCGCAAGCTTATGAGCAGAAATTTAATCGTGAAATTTATGTCATTGCCCAGCCCTAATAAAGACAGTACCAGTCATTGTAAAAGTTGGCCTATTGAAGACTTCTGAGGATGACAGAAAAGCTGAAGAAGATTGGTCTATTCAGTAGGCTCAAAGTTAAAGGGATACTCCACCGTTTTTTCATATTAAACTATGTTATTCTCTTATCTAAGACGAGTTGATACATACCTCTCTCGTCTCAGTGCGTGCACTGAATCGCTCTGTCGGGCGGAGAACTTTGAGAGCAGTTAGCTTAGCCCCATTCATTGTATATGGGCCATACAGAGATGAAGTTAGAAGCGACCAAACACATCCACGTTTTCTCTATTTAAATATAGTTACACGAGTAGTTACACGACCAAGTATGGTGACACTAAATAAAATGTGGCGCTTTTTATAAGCGGGTAAAATGGATAACTATAATGTATGGCGGAATAGCACTTATTGGGAGCACTTCGACTCGGCGCTGTAATATCTTCACTCGTGAAAAGTCCTCTCCCTGATACTTCGTCAACTCTGCACAAAAAACTACTACTACTGCAGGCGTGCAGGTCACGTTGGTTCTATTGACGGAGAGGGAGAGGGAGAGGACTTTTCACGAGTGAAGATCAGGGCTCCAGACTAACTTTTTTCACCTCCGTCCTGGAACCGTCCTGAAAACCAATTTGAACCGTCCTAAAGTGAATGTCAACCGTCCCAAAATAAAACTGTTGTTTCTGTACTTTGTTATTATGATCTATAGTTATAGTTGTTGGTCGTTTTTTTGTATTCATGCAGAATAAAAATGTTTTTTTTTTTTCTTCTTTTTTTTTCACATATAGGCTACGAAAATTAATAGAAAAATACATACAGCTCAAAACGTTTTTGAGTTGGTTGGATTAAACAATAACACAAATACTGGTGACTAAATATCTCAAAGTGGTAATGTGTCATAGCTGATCATCTGGAAACGTGTTAATAAGAGAAAGGGCTTTAAAAAGTGTAATATGACTTCCCTAGAACACAGAATTTGGGGGAAATTCTGTTTTCATCTCAGTCTTTGTACTGAGATCTTCGTGCCGGAGAAAACATCTATTAACCTGTTAATATGAATGATTTTAAAGTTTGAACATGCAATACAGATACAGATTTAACTGCTTAAAATATCTTAAAATTAAATAAAACCACTTTTCCTAAAATAGAACAGTCTTCTTTTCAATTAATGATATATGCATTCTTTATAACTACTTGCATACATAATTCTTTATTCTTTCAAGCAGCAGACAGTTATTTGTATGAACTAATTATATTAAATATAACATTAAAGCTATTAACGAGCAGTGAATGCTTTTCTCTTTTTCTTTTGTTGCTTGATCAATATTAAGGACACGGACCGCATTAGATTTATTACGCACTGTCACTTTAAGACGTCGGATCATGTCTAATGACATGCGGATACAATTGCACTGATGCACATCCGATTCTCTCACAACTGTTTAAGACATAACCAACATAGTTTACATGAATACTCTCCAAAACGGACATTTAGACATAATGTTGTGTGTATTTGTCCACTCAGACACGAAAGAGAGCTCAATCAGTCCTCGCGCGCTGTATAGGCGTCTATGTGCATGGCTGCACGCTTCGGTCGGGTGTGTGCGCACAGAAAACCGAATAGAGCTATTTTTTGCGTCGTCAATCTTATTCAGATATATATATATCTCTGCTCTGCTCATTCTCCCAGACGTTTACATATTTTAACGTTTTATGAAACATGCAGTGCATGTCAACCCGTGTCCCGCTGGGTAGATCAGCACGTTACCGTACAAATGTGCGCGTCTACACGCAGGACATCGGTTATGACTGGAACGCTTCCCAAATCGTCACTATCTAACATTTTTGTCTAGTTTTTATTCGTTGAATATCTGTTGTTTAACCAGCGCAACATATTTACGATGTCATTAAGCCATTTGATAGATGTACCGCGGAACAAGTCTCTGGGTGAGTAGCCGGTGATAGTAACGTTAGGCTATATAGCATGAGAAGACGCGCTCCGTTGTAGTCAGCACTTGGTCGGTTAATTTTGACATTTTCTAAGTAAGTTAGCCCATAGGCTAGAAATAAATGAACACACATACAAAAATATCTTTCGTCCTGTAGGCGTCCTGGAGAATATTTCTGTTCGTCCTAAACACGTTTTCTATCGTCCCCAGGACGATAGGACGCCGTTAGTCTCGAGCCCTGGTGAAGATATTACAGCGCCGAGTCGAAGTGTTCCCAATAAGTGCTATTCCGCCATA